GGGCCAGGAGCCTTAAAAGTTATATTATTAATATTAATATAAATATATGTTAATATTATGTTTATATTTATGTTTATAAAATTCTTTTTACTATTTTATTCTTCTATTTCTGGTGAACATTCCACTAAACCTTCAGCTTTTCCCGAGGACATTTTTTACTATGTAGCAATTCTTTTAATTATACTACATATATATCATATTTACACATGCACACACAAACATTATATAATTATGTACAGATCATATTAGTGATCATATATACTAATAACAATCTACCTTTTACAGGAGTATTCTTCTAGGAAATTACAGAGGAACTTACCAATGATATTTAATTATAAAAAATTATATAAGTATTTAAACTCACAAGAACTAAACCAATGTGAACTAAAGGGTATATTACTCTTTTTATGTACACTTATATTTCATTACATGTTATATTTATCTTATAAGGACTTAAAATAGAGAGAAATTATCAATGAAAGCTTCAATAAATTTTAAAGATTTTAAATTAAATCGAATTTTTTATTAAATTTTCCAATAATTATTGAAAATCTGTTTTTACTGTGTTATTAGAATCTAAATTTTATTTAAACTAAAATTTATTGAAGATTTCTACAAGAATAAAGTTGGAGTTCATTAAATAGTCACAATTGTGAGCTACTGCTTAAGGATTTGCATGATAATCGCTTATGACAGGAGCCGAAACAACAGTACACAATGTAAGTATTGTTCCTTTATTATACTCTTATTTGATAAATAAGTATGCAGTAAAGATACATTTTTCCTAAACCTTTGTTGCAATGTGATGTCGAAGGTCTCACATATTGTTGCTTCGGCTCTTATCATAACGAATTAGCGTACAGGCTCGTGAGAAGTGACACAATCGTGACTATTTAATGCGCTCCTAACTTCACCCATAAAAAGTTTCAATATTTATTTAAAAAGTCAAAACATTTACTACAAAAATATTCTGTTTTTATAAAATTTTTTCTGAAAGATATAAAAAAAAAACTAATCAGACAGTAGCATGTCATGTAATTATAATTGACACTATAAGAATAATTTTTATATTAGTATATGTTTTTACATTAAATTCCAATAATTAATTATTTCATTCTTAAGTTAATTTAAAATTATGCTATACGTAAGTCTTTAACCGTTTTACAATAAAAGACTATTATAATGACTGCCTACAGACTGATTTCTGTGTACAAATGATTGTTATAGTAAACCATGTACAGGTATTCATGGTTCTGCTAAGATATTACATTGTTAATTAGCAACGTTCTTTCTTATCTCTTATCATAAAATTTTTGCTATTATCAATTATTTTTTCACCGATTTAAATAATTTATATAGAGGTATTATATACATATATACATTGCGCGATGCAACAATATAATAGTACACAAAAAATTCTGTCGGTGGTAAAAAGTACATTGATTGTTTATTTTTCTATACAAATAGAGACGCGTTTTAGCCAGCTCCCCATTAACAAAACATTCGAATTCATATAAATGCAATTATATCCATTACATTTAAATTTAGCGACTCAAATATGCCTAAATATAAATGTAATGTAAGTAATATAAAAGTAATATAAGTGTAATGTAAGTGTATTAAGATAAATATAATTATTATAATATTTTATTATAATAATATATTTATCATATTATGTTTATTATAGAGATTTTTGTTATAATATGTTATATGATAACATATTATAAATATTAAACCTTATATATAAAGCATTATGTATTTTGTATAAAGCAATTAATATAAATATATATATATATAAAGAAAATTACTAGTATTTTTTATTATATTACCACTATTTATTATTATTTATATATTATTTTTTATTTGTTAATTGTTACTTTAAAATTCTTCTATTCGAAAGATAAATGTCATAAATCAAATTATTAACTTGCTTTTTTGTTATTGAAATATCCTCTTTTATTCAGAGGAGATAAAAAAATTAGATATTGAAATTAGTAATTGCTCAAGAGAAACATGGAAATGTATTAATTGGTATAAGTGTGTGTGTGTATGTTGTGTGACATATTATATTCCCAGACAGCAATATATTTACAAAATATTTTAAAAATATAGATATTAAATATTTTATAAATATTCAAATGTCCGAGATTTTCAGATATAAAAAAGATTATAATGAATATTTAAAAATATTTATAAAAAACATGTTTCATAAATATTTTTAAATATTTATTATAATCTTTTTCATACCTGAAAATCTGATCTACCGTCCTATTATTGTTTGTTTCCTTTTTTTATTTTGAAGCGTAAACACACGAAATAATGTATACATATACTAAAATAACGAAATTATTACGAAGGAATGTTTTTAGGACCACGCGGTTGTAAATTTAAATTAATATGATAAAACTAATAATAATAAGTATATATATGATAATAATAAATATATAGTAATAATAAATATAAATATAACAACTTCCATACAGAATATGATAAAACTAATAATAATAAGTATATATATGATAATAATAAGTATATAGTAATAAAAAGTATAAATATAACAACTACCCATACAGAACAAATATCCAAAATACATTTTATGGATATCCTATAGATATCACTATAACACTATAACAATCATCCTATATAACTATACTATATAATTGTGTATAATTATATATAATTACATATAATTTTATAATGTAGGGTGCGTTCAAATGCTCTACCCGGATGTGTTCTAATACTAGAGTGCGTTCAGATTCCCTACCCAGATACTCTGTACTAGAAGTGCTATAGTATATGTAACATATACTATAGTAGAGATGCCCGATTCTGAATCGATTTGATTCTTTCCCCAAAAATAGGCTTATTCGTGTTGTTTGCATTCTTCGCACTTTTCGTATTTAAAACCAGACAAAAGTATATTGAAATGTTTGGAAGAAGCAAAAGCAAAATAACTAACTCGATTGTTTCTTCCAAGCGTCTGATTAGGCGTCCATCTCTTTTTAAAAGCGAAAAGTATGAAACATGCAAGCAGCACGAACAACCCTTTTTCCCTAAATTTGTTAGGGAAAGAATCGAATCGATTAAAAATCGGGCATCTCTATACTATAGTGTTTCTAGTAATAGAGTGCACCCGGATGAGGAATCTGAACGCACCTGTAGATGGGCCTTAAGAAAATTAACCAATCACAATCGATTATTCTTCAACCGTAAAAAGAGTAATGGATTGTAATTGGTCAACCTTTACGACCTTGCGACCTATGACTTCTATTTTAGATGATTCCAAACTCCAAAAATATTGATATGACCCTTCTAGGTTTAGTAGCACACATATGACTCAGTCGCGATAGGTTCAGAAATAATTAGAAGTATACGTGTCACTCGTGTTATTCCGTTTTTCGTCAATCTATACGTTTGTATTGCTTAGAAGACGTTTCTCAATTACTAAGTTCGTGATTGTTTAAAAGTAGGAATCATTTTCCATTAGTATACCCTATCTTCGCATATGCGTGTGATATTTATATCAGCATCTTATATATCCTACACAGCCCTTATAGAAATATCATACTAAGAATCATTGATAATTACTTATTTTCAGTATTAAAAATACTGGATAATAAGTAATGATTCTTAATATGATATTTCTATAAGGGAGCACAGAAGTTTCAAAAAGCTTTCAGAAAGGTTTCAGAAACATTGAATCTTTCTGAGATCTTCCTGAAAGCTTTTTGAAATTTCTGTGCTGTGTGAGATACATACATATTAAGTCAAGTGATTTTATGTGTGATTTAATTTAACATCCAAATAATTGGATAAACGGTTTGTAACCGGTTTAACGATTTAAAACCGGATGTCCGTTTTTTTACTTAATCAAAAAATCGGTTATCACTCGAATAATCACTTAACTGATCAAATCGGTTATCACTCAATCGGGTTAATTATAATATTCGAGTCGACTAATCAGTTAATCGTTTGGCCTTTTAAACTGCATAAAAGAAAAAATAGATTGTCATCGTAAGACTCATTGTGCGTATACGCATACAATGATGACGTCATTCTCACCTTTTTAGCTTTTCATCTATTTCTGCAGCCCTATTCTGTAACTTTCTAACGACAATAGCTGCATTCGGGGAGACACTATTTGGCACTAAAAGCGTGTTCTGTCCTTATATTTACTGAAAGTTGAATAAGGACAAAATACGCTTTTAGCACCAAATAACATCTCCCCGAACGCAGCTTATGTCAATAGTATGACGTGTCGCTGCGCAGCTTTTGTTCCATGTAGTATACCTGCGCAACGACAAAGGATACCGACACTGTCGTTAAAAGTTACAGAATAAGGCTACTGGTTAGCATAACCTTCAAATTACGTAATAATAATGATTATAATGTTATTATTGAAATTACACACACACATATATATATATATAGACACATACACACACACACACAGAGGGTATAACAATTCAAATTTTTATTATCTTAGTTCGGATCTTATAATTTCAATATATCAAAATTTAAAAAAAACTTAAATTGTTTAAGAACTGTGGACAAATTAATCTTATTGCCTCGATTTACTAGAGTTATACGATTTCACTCCTCATAAAATGTAAACAACAAAA